CACACCTCAATCATTACCCAACATCACTCAATTTTTTGCCACTGAAATGTAAAACAGAGACATTTGCATCAGGCCATTATGAGTTAGAGACTCAATGTGCTAAACCGGTTTTTCCAGTTAGTTAGTGACTGGGTATACATGTATACATGTAAGAGCTAATCAGTCATACCAAGCCAGTTCCAAAGTTGATGTGAAAGTGAACAGAATATATGGCAGATGATGAGCAGCAGAAAGCAGAATTGATATGAATGTATTGATAGAAGCACAATTTGATATCTGAAATATGAAGCAGTTTAATTAACTAAATTTATAGTAATTGTGAATGTAGGCTTACCTTATAATATGATAAATTTGAAACTTTAGGTGTTCAGTCTACTAGTATTTAAAAAAAAAATTGTTCCTTGCTAGAATTGGAGAGTATCCTGGTCTAACTCAAAGAATTCCCATTTGTCCTATAAAAGATTAGAATTTCAATGTCTGGTAAGAGAATCTGGAACACTCCTAGTAGATATTGGAGTAAAAACACCAGAATTCCCATCTCAACTAGTAGAGACTGGAATTCCCATCTCTACTAGTAGAGTTCTCAACTGTACTAGTAGAGATTGGAACTCAGTAGTATAAATACTAGGATTCCCATCTCTACTAGTAGAGTTGCCAACTCTACTGGATTTGCATCTCTACTGTGACATATATAACCAACGAAGTACATGTTTTTGTTTACTCATTGCATTACAACAGATCATTCTTCAACTTCGACTTACTGCCTGCTCTTGAATAGGCTATTTGTTGCTGTTAACATTTTACATAGCTTCTTCTGGCAAATTAACTTAATAGGCTGAAATTAAAGTCTATTATTCTTTATCCCACGAACTCCTTTTTTTATTCATTTCTATACCACAACAAATTCTTCTTCCAACTTAGACTTACTGCCTGCTATTCGGTAAACTAATTTGACAAAGTACTTATTAACATAACAGCGAGCAGATTATTATTGGAATGAGCAGAGCACTTTGGACTAATGCCTCTGACTATATACAGCTTAGAGGTACATATTCAATCTTTTGTAAAAAAACTCATCTGTTCCATAGTGGATCATAATGACCCCCAGTGGGGGTCTTCACGCTTCGTTAAAAATGGAAAAATCTCAATATTTTAGACAAAATCTTGAGATATTATGAGACAATCTGGAGATTTGTCATGACAATCTCCAGATCTTTCAGAAAATCTTGAGATAAAAACAAAAGGTCTGAAGATCTTTCCAAATGTTTTGAAAGCATCTTGAGATTTTTCGATAGCATCTCGAGATGATTTAAAAAATATCAAGATTTTTTAAGTAATCTTGAAAAAAAATCTTTAAAAGAATCTTGATATTTTTAAAGCATATCGAGATGCTATGGAAAAATCTCAAGATACTTTGAAAACATTTGGAAAGATCTTCAAACCTTTTGTTTTCATCTCAAGATTTTCTGAAAGACCTGGAGATTGTCATGAAAAATCTCAAGATTGTCTCATAAGATCTCAAGATTTCGTCTAAAATCTTGAGATTTTTCAATTTTCAACGAAGCGTGAAGAACCCCGCTGGGGGTCATTATGATCCGCCATGGAACAGAGAAGTTTTTGACAAAAGATTGGATATGTACCTCTAAGCTGTAAACGGTTAGAGGCATTAGTCCAAAGTGCTCTGCTCATTCCAATAATAATCTGCTCGGTGTTTAGTACATCTACATTGATTATGTAGGCATAAAGTAAAAGCAGAACATCAATAACTTAAACTAATAACTACAAGACATTGCAGTTCTTTAATTAACATGATGCGGTGGCGCATTGATGTTAAACAAACGGTGTCTTACCATGTAACACCCTTCAGCTCTAAATACTCAACAGTCACATTTTACACACTACTTTTAATTCAATTAACTGACAAAGAAGCATGCTAAAATCACGATAACGTAAATTATACTGTAATCTAGAAAATTAAACGTTTTCTCTAAAGAAACTTAATTTGACAGTGCGGTCATTTAGAGAATGACACACTCACTCACTCAGTCCTCTTGCACGGGGTATGCGCTATTGAAAACGAACAGTAAACAAGAAGCCATAGGTGACAATCCTCCGTGAAGTCTTATATTTTGCAACAAAAATAACCCCAAGCGTCAATGCCAGACCTACAGCCCCACCGTCTTACCGTTCCTGTTATATCACTTAAATAAGGAATACTTATCATAAGCAAATAATCTGAAACAGTTGCCCGACAAACATTAAACAGTTACATAATGGCCAAGAGTTGCACTTTATGGCCCTTTATCAGTAAAGCGCGACTGGCTTGGCCAAAAATATTAATTAGGAACAATTGCAGCCAGCACCGCGAGTGTTACTGCTGCTGGTTACATACCCGGGCCAAAACATCTCAACGACATTACGGGGATGTTTCAAAAATGAGCATTTACTTCAATATCAAAACAGCTATGGTAAAAATAAAAAGACGTGCATCACCCCGGACATAATGGCACACCACATGCCAAATTACACAGAAATGCTACGTACGGAACAATGCGTTTTGGCTGCGAACACGTATGGTACCACATATCGACCCCACCGCACGTCTGCATGAAGTTCAACCCCCCACTGCTATTCCAAACAACGGGTTTTTCTGGACCATTCCAATTTGCCTCAAAATTTTAGGGGTGCATCTGCAATATTACATTGACCGCGAAAACAGCAACGGCAAAAATACACATTCGTGCATAAACACGGGCATGCCCGCAGACGGCGTATAAAATTGCGTGCTGATTACACTAAGAGAACCCAGTGTTTTAACTGCGAACACGAAAAAACGGCTGTTCACAACACTCCGTCCGGAGGTCCTGACCTCCTTCACGGAGTAATAAGAGACAGGCAAATATTTCCTCCCTATAAAAGTGAACTGGACCTTGAAACAGTCTTGTCGACGATATAACACCTACAGCCTTTCGATGTTTGCCTTTTTTGCCACTTAATGTAATCTTCAAATAGACATTGGTAGATTTTAATGAGTAAGCATGCGAGCACTTTTAGAGTGTCAAAATCTTCATACTATAAATCCATTTAATGATGAAATTTGGAAATTTTAGCTGTCGGTGAAAAATGGACAAAATCTCGAAACTTAATTTTATCGGTGTGAACAATGCAGATGTGTAATAAAATACATGATCACGCTGGCTTTTTTAAGATTAAAAAATGTGGATTTTAAACAAAAAAAATAATAAAAAGTAAGGGGTAGAATTTTGATAATGTTTTTCAGAAAATTTCCGCTTTAGGTCACTACACTGCATGGAACGCCAGAATTCTAAGGATTCAATGTGAGTTTAGTAAAGGGCAAAATAATTTTGTTAATAAAAGTCGGCTTTTTGTCTATTAAATCTGTACGTTATTTGGTCAAAACAACACGCAGAATTCTCACGTCTTCTTTACTGTCCTTGCTGCATTTTAATCCACTTACAATTGACCAAAAAAATTAACGAACCAGAACTAAAAGATAAGCCGCAGCTGTGACGAAACTCTGCGTTAAAACTTTGTAAAATAGCAAGTGGGGAAAATTAAAAAAAATAGAAAGGACGACATTTGCTCGAGTGCAAATGCAGCAGATGGCTTCATTACATCTACCGTACTAAAATGGACCAGTCCTATACCCCATCAATTGGACTGTTCCTAAATTTACCCTGTTCCAATAGTCTATACCACCATGCAGTAGTGAAATCTTCAAACGCCTTCTGATGTCGGAACATGTAGAACTCTGGTACAATCCGAGTGTTCTATTTAGAACTGTCAGTTGGTGAATTGTATTTTGGAGCTACAATCGCTGTTTTTACTCGAACTAAGGTGAATAAAAGTGTTTAAAGTGCTGAATTTGAATAGTGAACACTATAGTCTAAGTATTTCAAGTAAATTTTTAGTAAATCTAAGATTTCAGAATATTGGGTTTATATATAATCGCACAGGAGCCGAAAACGTACATTTTTTGCATTTACTGTTACATCTCATTAAGAAGAAAAAATTAATAATTGGATTGGTTTCAAAACAGTTTCAAAATGGCCCATACTTTCCAAAATCTGAATGGTTAAATTTATCTGGTGTGTGTAATTTTCTATGTTACCTGAACTAGTACAGGAATGCAGAAAAAATGTATTTTGAGTCCTGGCTTAATTTTACATTTACTCTAAGGTGTGAAAACAAAGGTAAGAGGAATGATAATAACGAGCCCAACAATGTACGTCACAAAGCAGACCCTGTCTACAACATGAGCTAGATTGTAATAATCTGTCTCCGGCTCCTCTTTATCGGCATCTTCTTTTCCTTCTGGCGTAGCGACTTCACACTCGCCTGCAGTTCAGTCAGAAGCTGCTTGATGGCGTGAAGAAGTTGTAGCTTCTCTCTTTCTGCTGGTTTGTCGTGGAAATAGTAGACCACTTCCTTGGCCATGGCGTTGTGCTGCTTAGACTTGTCTGTTGAGTCGACGGAGATACTTTCTGGCTCCACGTCATCACTCTTGATGTTGCTCAGGTCACCCAGGAGCAGTAACCTGGCCAAGTGCCGCAGGAACAATGCTCTCGCCCAGCGTGGCAAGGTGCCTTCCTGTGACGGGAGGAAACGGTTGGATTTAAGGTATAATCCAAACTATCCTATTATTGGAACACACTGCGATACGCTGCCTTATGACAAAACTTTATCACAGCAACAAACATTTTGGATAGACACTTTTCACTTGGTAACACACCTTAAAGAAACTAAATTTCTGATGTACGGAAGGTAATTGTATTTTTTAACACAATCTCGTTTAAATTTGTTTAGTCACTAACTGACGTTATCTAATTGAAATAGCGAATGTTTCGGCACAGAATTAAAAAAAACTTGATCCCGTGTTAATATCCCAGTTTTTAGTGGGGCAAACTTATCATTATCATTATCATTACTATTATTATTATAACAACATGTTGCTCAAGTTTACAGTGCTGGTAAAATTGTATGATGTATATGGATATGGATGAATAGACAGCTATTCTGCTGACAATTCTGCTAATGTTCGATGTACCTTTTGACTCAAACTGATGGTAATTAGGGCAAAGAGCATCCACAGGACCATCATGCAGATGTAGATCAGAACAACCACCGCTACAGAAGGCAACAATGACAACAGATGTTACAACAAGAACACAGCAACAGGACACATTCAGTAACTACTGATATGTAAGTCCAACCGTCACGGTTCTACTAGTTATCTCATGTATCGTGTCTGCTGCATGAATTTTGTGCAAAATGTTTTTTACTTACCTATTACTGGCAGAGACTCTTCTGCAGGTACAATTTCCGTGATGAAGACCAGCGTCACTATCATGGACAGGAAAATGGTCATAGCGTAGCCGAGGCGCTCTCCCTTCAAACAAAAACGGCAGGGTATTAAAAAAGGTTTTTTTTTCGTAATAAATGTTAAGTTTCTCTTTTTGTAACTCTATGTGTATTTTAATTAATCTATGAGGGACAATTTTACATGATTAAGTGTAGGTAATTTGCTCATTATCATAATTCATGCACCTCAAACAAGATGACTACCGACAGCCATGTCGATAACCTTTGACCCTAAGTCCATAACTTGGTCTGGTAACTTGACTTGGTAACTTGGTCTGGGGTCTAATTTTTTTTTTAATTTTTGTGATTCAACATGTTGAGGTTGTACTGTAATAATGTGTTTAGTAGACGAATGGCAACAGAAGACTCAAGCAAAAATATTACTTGGAAGAAATATTGACGACAACGAAGGATTCATAAGTGATAAAAATACCAGGGTCAGTTTTCGATTCCACTGGACCACGCATAAACTCTAGGATAACTCAATCAACAATGTTCCAACCCCAGTAAAAATGAGAAGTTATTGAAACGAAGTCAGTGAAGAAGGAATTGCCTTTTTCAAATTTCAAAATGGCACATACAGCATTGCCAGTTTTGACCCCAAACGGTGGTTTGAGGGTTCAAAAATCGCATGATTAAGATTACCCGCCGTATTCTATTAAAATCAGGACAGAGGTCACGACCAGAAGAAATGCATTATTCATGTACATGAATCACGTGACCTAGTGGCACCTATGTCTACTCTGGTTCACTTATCTAGAACTCACTACCTCAAGATGTCAGAGTAACACCTTCTCTTACAACGTTTAAACGGCTTCTGTCTCTGTGACTGACCTTTACGCAACCACTATGGACCTGATGACGTTATGACCTGTTTTGTCATTGTTATTTATTTATTTATTTATGTATTCATTTATTGTACGCTGCTTTGTATTATTGTTTTTTCTTAACTCGACAAGTGTTTGTACTATTATTTTATTTATTAATTTATCATTATCATTTTGACCCCTTGACTGTCCTCCCAACTCGACCCCCACGAAAAGCTGGCGTCATGGCTGAATGGGGCGATATATATTTGTACAAACGATAAGAAATCGAATATAAATAAAGGCACAAACAAAAAAATAAACAAACAAACCGTGTCCAGGGGCAGCAGAAAGGTCACGCCCATCAGCAGGACTAGAAACGTGCTCGGGGCGATGGCCGTACACATGTGGTAGGTCGGGTCACGGCGCATGTGCAGTTTGATGCAAGCCAATGTGAAGTTTCCTTCTTCTTCTTCTTCAATCTGAAATATTATAATTTTGTTTATTGTCTATATTCTCTTTGTCTGGCATGATCATTATGTTGAATGTTTTCTTTTTTATTCAGCATACAATAAACAAAATAAAGGTGCAGGACAAAGTGACGACGGGCTCAAGTTACTTATGTTAGCGCCGTCACTTATACATATAAAACTAATATTACTAAACATTGCAAAACACTAACCAGGAATACATGCAAATACATGTTTTGTTGCTAAAATGTAATTTTGGGCGGTTGACATTATGTTACATTTAACTCGAAAAGAAATAGAAAATTCCTATCGCTGCCCTGTTTTGTTAATGTTTGTAGTTGTAAAAAATGAACTAAAGTTTAGCAAGACTACATATTTCATACCGCAAAAGCAATGACAACTGCAAATGTAATTTGCGTTCCACGTCCTTCAAGGGGGGTTGCGAGTCCCGGCCTCCGTAACTCAACAAACACTTATCGTAGGACTACCAAATATTTAGAGGATTGTATACCAGTAAATTAAATCATAACAACAACTTCGGTGTCATTGTCTTCGTCAGAACGGACTATGAAATTGTCTCGCCGCATATTGTGGGGAACTGCGGATTTTGCGATATAACTCTGGCGGGCATGATTCGACGTCCATGATTTTTGGCAGGCAGATTACAGTTGTTAAGGCCGAAGTCAAGTGCAAGTTTCGGCTTCGTGCGGGGTCCGTGCGTCACGTAGGTGCACCTTTTGTGTTTGTGGCTTGTTAGCAAAATAACTCAAGTATTTGTAAAATGTTGATTATAATTTTTGTTGTGGAGGTTACTATTGTCGGGACCAAGGTTAAGTTCGTTAATGAGCTTCGTGGGGGGGGGGGGTTCGTTGTCACTGCAGGGGGCATTTTCTTAATTATCTTGTGAGCAGGATAACTTCTGTATCTGTGGATGGAAGTTAATGAAATTTGGTAAGCATGTTACTGTGGTGGACACCAAGATTAAGTTAAAAGATGAGAGTCATGGGGGTCGATATGTCCCCGTAATAGACCTTTTGTGTCACTGCAGCGCACCTTTTGTGTTTAAAAATAATGACCAACCTCTGCTTGGAGCCAGCTGACAGCTGCATGGGGAACCCCATAATGGGATGGGATCAAATAACGTTTAATGATGGATTGTTCATTATAACTTCAGCTGGAGGAGGAAATGTTCGACATGCGTCAGGTTATTTCATACGGCCACACAAAGTAATTGTTATTGATAAAGTGCACTGGAGACCTTAAATTTTAGACGAATGCGCGATAAAAACATGAAGGGCCGAAAAACAAGATGCCTAGATTTGGAATATACTAACTGTAGAAATACAAATTGAATTAAAAAACACAATGTGTAACAAGTAACAAGTCTTCTATTCGTCATAAAAAATCAACAAAACAGCAGTAGTCGCCCTGTTTTGATTCTTTCATTTCATCACATCTTCTGTTGATTAATTTTGCGACACTTTCGTAACACTTTCATCATATTCATAATACAGTAAGCAGAATTTCTTGTAACAGTTTCTTTCAGTATCAGTCCAAAATCAAATAACTTAGGGAGGCCGAAAACGGTGACAGTACGTCTGTAAAATCTGTGGCAAAACCTTTCAGGGTGTCCGTAGCATAAAAAAAGGAGTACAGAGATTCTTTTACTCTAGACCACATTGGTTATTAAAAAGTAAAGAATACACATGTTCATTTCTCTAGAACAATGTACCTCTGACGAAGACATGAGATCTCCGACCTCTAGTTATGACATAATATAAGGTCATTAAGACGTCATTTATGTCTTTTCGTCGTCCTTAAAACCGTAAACATAGGTTTTATTTATAGAAACGCAACCTAACTTAAATAAAAGTGTTTATGATAGAATATTACGGTCTATTAAGGCTTGAAAATGACGTCATAAATGCATATTCAAGGTGTCCGCCATATTCGATCGTCAATCTTGAATTTTTGGAAAAAAAACATATTTTTCCATAAACTAGCTTGATAACAAAAATTGTTAATTTTGTCATTTAATGTGAACAAAATACCGAATTGTGATGATTTTGGCAACAAGAAATCGTACATATATCCATATGTATATTATACATATCATTACAATTATATAATTGCTGCCAGGTGTTCTTCAAGCAAAGTCACTAAATTTGGTGGTTTTACTGCAAGCTATTCGATCGTTATCTAAGATGACAGCAAATCCTCAGAAACACAGCTCACACTAACAGTTCATGACATAGCTGGTGCACTGAACAGTAAAAAGCAAGTAGATTTAGCGATACTTGTTGCCACCAAGCACAGTTGGGGCATCATCACTAGAAAGCTTTAAACAACTCCTGCAATCAAATGTGCAAAGATCGAGTGTAACAAGTCGGTCGGTAGCTAGCTGCCGCCGCGCCGCGTGCCTGCGAAGCTGGTGTGTTCTCTGTGTGGTTAAGTCAATTTGAAGACCCCCAGCGAAGTAGGCGTTGGCACAATAATCACACCGACTGCATGCATGTACTTTCGCCCTTCTGTTACAGTACTAGTATTCATGCTTGTTCTTATCAAATGCTCCACAACTAAGTCTGGCCCAAAGGAACAATTGCATAATTGCTTCTACTTGAACTCTTTAAGAAGTAAACTTCTCTTGTAAACCCAATTCCGTATAAAGGTAATCATGCTGCTAACCAGCTGTCACTTGCAAAATGGGAAATTTTCCAGTTTTTTTAAATACAAATTAAAAAAATGAAAGGTTTCTGTGCCACTTTTTTATTTGGTGATTTGGCCTTCCTTGTACTGAGGACATTATACTAGTACTTGTTATACAGTCATTACTGAATCCTAGGAAAATGCCTGAAATAATTTACCATTAATTTCCACAAAATGAAGACTAAATTTCCCATTTTGCAAGTGACTGGCATATGTGATTACTTTGTTTACATTGTTTTGCAAGAGTTATATTATATCCATGCTCAGAACACTAAGGACTGAAAAATGAATACTATAGTACACATGATTTAACATTTTTCTTGTGTCATGATCAAACAATTTCTCCAAATTGCTTTATGTGCATGAAACAATCATATAAGTGTCTGCCAAATCAAGGAGGCTCTAGGGGGTTCTAAATACATGACCAAATTTATCTCATTTTGCTTGGATAAACCAAGAAGCTTCAATTTCAAACTGAAAATCCTTTGATAAATAGTCTTAGTCTAACTTTTCTGGAAATTTCTGTATTGTGTGTATGTGTGCTGTACTTGTTAAATGTCTCTTCAGATACTCCAGTGCTAAAAAGTGTCTATTGTACTTTTTTATCAACCCAAGCCAAGCTGTCTGACATGGCAGGTAAAGGTGTGAAGTAGCCGTGAATTTTGCCTATTGTTTTCCTCAGGTAGTCTGGTACCCTGCTGTCAGGGACTGAGTCAACAAACTAATTGGCCATATTGTCCCCTTATCCAAACACAGAGATCATATTTCATCCTTGGATTGACCAAAAGTTGCAATTTTGTCATCTTCTCTATATGCAATGTTCTTGTTTCACACAAAGGACATGTCTGAAAAGTAGACAAGTCGAATTTTAATGTTCAGGTGGTCCCAGGGTTGTGCACATTTCCAATACATTGTATGGGATCTATGAATATTTCAATTATGCAATATTTCTGTTATAATGATATTGGTAGATGTGGGACCACTTGAATATTATAGAGAGATCATTGCAGAATACATACATACCAAATTTTTGTCAAATATATGATTTTAGGGCTTCGGCCGGGAGCATAAAAGTGATAAAATTTAGCTGTGATTATCATATTCATATCTTTATATCAGTATGCTTTAATTGGAGTCTACATACTTAGAAAGTATCTTATGGACCCTATGCTTCATGTCTTGTTGTAAGTTCTGGAAGAAAATATCTCAGTGACAATATATTGAACATCAAAGTTGGGGGACCAGTTAATTAGCTAAAAAGGCTGAAAAGTGACTTAACTACACAGAGTTACCCCGAAGGGCGGTTATACCGGCTATACCGATACAGATGCAGATGAAACCAAACGCGGGCCTCAAAAGCACACCCCCTTACGTCTAAATAGGGTTAAGGCTCAGGCAAATACGATCTTACGCAAAAACGATCCTTATGTGCATTCTTATATCAGTTTATTATATTCTCCACCCAATAAAACACACTATCAAAGGACGCTATCATTTCCTTTAAAATTATGCAAAGAAGGCCCTGATTTGAATTGAATATGTTTAACAATGTTTACATTGCAGTAATGTGGATTTCTATTTTTTGAGAGGGGTGAAGCAAGCCATATACATCAGGGCCCATCACCCTACGTTGAACCGCGACGGAGGTTGACATCGTCTACCAGATACCTTTGACCCAGTGTTGACGTCACACCACAAAGAAGCCACGTGACAAGCTTCACTGGGTCAGTCTACTGAGGAAGACCAGAGTGACTGGTCAAAAGCTCTAGGTGAGAAAATTTTTGTGTTGGAACAAAAGTTTTAACTTTAAACATGTAACTACCAACACAGATGAACTTTCATGAGAATGTGAATATCGTTTACGAAAAACTTAAAATTTCACAACGAATATGACAAGGCCCTTACCTCCCACTCGGTGTTCCACTCGTCTACCCGTATGGAGGTCTCCATGTCACAGTACGCCAGGTTGACCCTAGACGAGTGGACCTGACGCTGGCCTCTCTCCAAACACTTCAACACCTCGTTCCCCCGCTGTCCCTCATCGGCAATGCACGCGCTGCACTCAATGTTATCAAAGGGGAAGTTTCGTGCATCTAGGGGATGGAAGAAAGAAGAGAGAGAAGAGGACGAAGAGAGAGAGAGAGAGAGAGAGGACATGAAAGACAAACGTTATTGCACGACAATTCTACAGGGTACAAATTAATACAACTATTATTGAACAGAGCACAAAAAGTGTGAGTTTTTGCAATTTAAGATATATTCTGTGTTTCAGTCTCTTGAAATCTAATAAAATATTTGCTACGTAAAACAATAAACCTCAATAAACCTCAACGCCACCTCTAAAGTATTCCAGAACAAAGTGAAATTGTGTTTGTTCGCTTGTGCTTGTGTTTGTATGTTATAGGCTAGCATTGTAATTGGTTAAAAATTGGGTAACATGCGACATGGAAAGGCTGCGTACATATTGGCGCTGAAAGGGGTTTTTATTTGAATATCCTACATACTGTAGCTACATGTGGTCTTGAATATCTGAGAGATGTCCCACACCACCTCCCCGTTCCGAAACACTCGCGCTCCAGTAGATGACTTGAAACCCTCAAACTCTGGATCAGCGCTGTGGAAAAATCAGTTTCCTCTATTTGTAAGAACATAGTTGGTTGTTTAACGTTAAAACTTTTGTTCTAACACAAAAAATTCTCTCCCCTAGAGCTTTCGATCAGTCACTCTGGTCTTCCTCAGTAGACTGATCCAGTGAAGCTTGTCACGTGGTTTCTTTGAAGTATGACGTCAACACTGGGTCAAAGAAGCCACGAGTGGCTGGAAGAAAGCTCTAGGGGAGAGAATTTTTTGGTGTTGGAACAAAATTTTTAAATTTAAACATATATCTACCAACACGGATTAACTTTCATGATAGCATAGTTGGTTATTCGAATTCGATCGTAATTCGTATTATTTCGGTACCGATTTTGATTTCTATAATCAACGGATTTCTGTTAAAATCATTTATTTAACTGTTAAAGAAAAGGGAAGAGATGGATGTTGATTGTTGTGCATCGTGAGAATGCAGTAAAACGATGCGCAAGGATATGTGTACCTCTATCGCCTTCTCCCCCTTTGCTGTCCCACCTTAATTAATTTTTGTACGTGGTTTTAATTCTCAGTTCCATGTGAATAATTCGTGATTCGTGTGCGTCATTATGGTTTACGTTCACATGACAATAAAGTCGTTTTGATTGATTAAAAGTTGCTGTCCGGTGTGCACGTGACGAACAGGTGATTTGAGCAATTGGTGGGGTTCACGTGATTAGAACGTGATCTTACTTATTCGCCAGAGCGAGGGCGGGTCTCCACAGCTTGTCATCGGACACACGGATCTCATCAACGTCTGAGTATCTCGAGTTATGCCATTGGAGGCGTCTGTCGTCCCATATCTGCCGATGAGAAAAAAAGAAAAAAATGAATGAATGAATGAATGAATGAATGAATGAAAGTTATTTCTCCCAAATGGTGTAGGCTAAGAAATATAGCAACATAAAACCTCTAATTAGCTTACATTATTTTCTCTTGACATTTATATTGCAAAATGAAGTAATTGTAAAAGATATATGGATGAAGATAGCTCACCAGTCTGAACACCACCGACGACAGAATCTGTTTAGCACGCACGTTCTAAAATGATTAAGAACATGTCATTAATAGAGGTTTATAGAAGGAGAATATTTCTGATTTGTTCTCAACAATTAACACACAATATGACACACCATACTAGACGCCGCCACCACTCATGCACAGGAGTGCTCCCGCGAGGACACACTGCAGAAAAAATAAACAAACAAGACCACAAGATCGCACAGTCCTGGTAATGTACAGATGACATTTCCAACCTCCTAGAATCATTATCAGGAAATACTAAAATCTGTTCTCATTCAAAACAAGGGACATCTTCCAAGATCCACCTCTTGTTGCATGCCGACGCAACAAGAACATAATTATGCTGGTATGAGCCCAAATGCCGAAGGAAAACAAGAACTTGGAATAACCCGTTCTTTACGGCTTCTTCCCGTGTGGAAAACATAAGTGCACCAACTGCCCCCATGTCAGAAAGGCAAACAACTTTCCAAGCCATCGCACAGAATGCTACACCATCAGGACCCACATAAATTGCCAGAACAAAACATCGTCTGCTTGATGCAATGCAAAAATGCAGCGTACACAATGGGCGTCACCAAACAGACACTGGACAACAGATTGACTAGCCATCGTTCTTCCATCAACACAAAGAAGAACCTGCCGGTCTTAGCGCACTTCAGACACATCTCATCTTGGAAGACCTCGAGATCGTCGGCATCGAAAAGCTCCGCAACACGGTCAACGAAAACTCCACCAGACAGCTCCGACTACAAAGGGAATCCTACTGGATACACCTGCTCAGAACTATACACCCAAAAGGCCTCAACCAAAAATCTCTAGAAATGACCAGGGTATAACGAGTACCACCAAACTCGTCATGACCGGCACCTCGAAGAACACACACTATGACAGACACGGCATGCATTGCTTGTATAGGTTTAAATTCTTTAATAAAAGTTAAAACATTATCTTACAGTAGCTAGCCGTATCTATACCTTTAGCTTCCTCAGGGATGGAAAACACATCTTGAAGTAGTACCTTGGATTCCAATGTAAATGCTTTAAAATAATGCTTCTCGTTGCCAGTTAATCACACCATGTGCGATGATTTGTATATTAAATAAATTGAACGGAAAATTAAAAAAAAACTGTACCAATTCTAGGACATTCACCAGGGCTGCGTGGAAAAAGATGTTGACAGTTCCGGAGTCAGGAGGAAACGCCGGGTTGTAGTAGTTCTCGTTAAACAGTTCTTCTATAAGTCGCAGGCGTCCGTCAGCTGCAGAGAATATGAAGAAATGAAAGAAAAAGGAAGGGATTGATTTTATTATACATCTTAGTACACTAGTACATATGAATGTGATGCTATACATTTTTGCATATTATTATCAATTTCAAATTGAATTCGATAAAGGTTTCAGGAGTGTAGAGGTTTACCAAGGAAAAAAGTTTCCAACAGTGTACAGATTCGTAAGACAATATCAAATACGCTGTACAAGACGTCTAGGACATTTATGGGGCAGTTGCGTGTTTTATTATCTATTACTCGGCTGTCCTATCACAGAGGATGTTTCCATAATCCTTTGCTATCGATAAGGTCAGAGCCTTACTAAATATTCTGTTCAGACGGAAACGGGTCGTAACTAGACCATTGAACGTTACACAACTTTCCTCAATTCACTCAGGTAAAAATGAGTATTGTATTATATTGTATTGTCCCCTGTGTTGATGGTGGCATTAATCTAAGTTGGAAAAACTTGAGTGTGCCGTCACCACGTCTTGTGATTAGATGTTGAAATATGAAAATAAAAATAAAAACTAGACCATTCTTACTTTGACATTCCGGTGGAGGGCTGGACCAGGTTCCGTTCTGCAGGCAGTAGGCGTCCTGCTCCCCGGAGGTTACCCGGTAACCCTCGTTACACCGGAACGACACCCGGTCTCCCGCCCGGTAGGAACCTTTCACGGGAACACGACGTCCGTTCTTCGGGTTCACGGGGCTTTCACAGGCACCTGTCGGATCAACAAAGGAAACAAGGTGAATGAATTAAGCCCTTTATTGTACATACATACCCAGTGGGCTAGGTATGTTCCCAGCTACCTTTGACCTTAGCTTTCCACTACCGAAAGCTATGCCTCTGATTGGCTGAAGCTCGTCAGCCTGTAGAAGTGGTTTTAAATGGGCGGTTTGGCAGGGTTGCTCCGCACTAGTAAGGAAGTACCCCTGCCTCGGGAGGATGAGGCTCATTAGAAAGGTAGGAAGTTTTTAATTTTTTTAAGTATAAGAAAACATTGATCTTATCAGTCTATAATGCATGCCTTTCACATTGTTGTACATACTACATTTTACTACAAAATGATGCTCCTTTTCTTTTCTAGAATTACAGTATCGACAAATTCATTTTCTAGGGGAGTACAATTATGTCGTCCCCTTTTAGTTTGTGGTACCGTATAAAACCGAAAATCTTAAAATCAAAAAACAACAAATGTACCTACATGTTTTATGTTAAGTTAGGCCATTCCTTTGCAATGAACAGGAATATATTTTATAATCACGACTTCTTATACATACAGCCTATGTTACCATGTTTGTTTGCTTGATTTTCCAAATGTGTGCATGTTGGATAATAAATCGGATGATTTAGTGGTTTTAAGACATGGAAAGTCTTCTAAGACCATCCATAATTTCCAGCAAGGGCTGTCTTGGAAACTAATACTCAAGTCACGTTCGTCGCACGACAACAATTTAACAATTTAATGACATTCGTGCGACAGCTTTGCAATTCCAAGTTTCGATTCGCAGCCGTCACTTTTGCGGTAAAGTTCGTCCCGCTAGAATCTAAGTTCAACATTTTAACGTTTCTGTGGAGTAAATCCAGTTAAACTGAAATATTACTGGAGAAAGTAGAGGATAATCTTCGATTCACGTACGACGATATCTAAGGCCAATGTCGACTTGCGATCGTGAAATCCACAAGGATGTCTACCTGTTATTTTATTTTAACGTATAACGTACATATAGTAAAAAATTAGTTCCGTCGAGAAATTCGGAAAATAAGCGGGGATTCGTCATTTCAACCGGCTGAAATTAAACTCAAATTCTCACAACAACCTTATCTATTCGTAACACGTATGAATATTTCGACCTTTGACCGTAGAAGAGCGTAATTTACCAAAGAAGATGCACACCGCTCGACGCTCGATACCCCACTGGAATCCATTATGGAAGCCAGGGAGTATCAGTAGGCGCCTCGTTTTCATGCATGATCACGTGCGTTCGCGCAGCGCCGTACTCTCGCGGGACCTCTTTTCAAAATGGCCGCGGAGATTGGAATTACGTCTATTGCCGTATACTAGTTTTCTTGGGGGATACGACTGTTATAGCTAGATTGATGTCACTGGTGAGTTCTAGCCATGCGACGAAGAGACTGTACGAATCTGACTGTTAGTAAAGTACGTGGCTGTCTCACCTTCGCATGGATCCACAGAGCAGGTATCAGGCACAAGGGAGCCTCCAGAATCCTTCACATAGCACCAGGGCTCAGGACTTGCTGTGAGAAAAAACGTAGACACGTCGTTTTAGGGGCCAAACCAGTTTATTATGGGCCTGAATTCGATTTAGCACAACTTCAAAAGTCTCTAGTGACCATGTATTTTAGGAAATGATTCTAAAAGCAAAAAAACAAAAAACAAAAAAAGAAACGACCGTGTAATTAAAAAAATCCGTCCAGCAACAAGAATAACGGGATTAAAATTCCTTTATCATCTTAAATTTTAGGGGAAAACTGATTATCCAATAAATAAAAAGTGCAAAAAATCGGCAATTTCCACGTAAATTACACCCATTACCTATGATCCAAAGTGACTTATATGTTCAGAAAGAGGAAACGTTTCTGTTTAATAAAAAAAATTATACAGAATATCCTTAAGAAACTCCGAACACTGTTAGGCTGCGCACAAACGCAATGTTTACATCATTGTCGAGGTATACCGAAACGAGTCTACACAAAGATGTTTTGCATTTTTGGCATCATATAGACTGGCCTTCTTTATGTGTGTATTGTGGAGACTTACAGTATGGGTTTCGGCAGTATGAATCTTGTAGGTTTGCCCAGTTATATTGCTCTTCAAGCAGAGACGGGGCGACCAGCCTGGCCGCGTCAGACCAGGGTTCACAGCGCTCTCCCGACTCGCCGATACTTCTCTTTCCCCGGTAGTTCTCACCGTTGCCATAGAAGCAATCTAGGATCAATAAATGCAAAAGTTGGGCAAGGGGCCCGGTCGGACAGTTTGCGGAACCAAAAATAATTATATCGATATCAAAGACATAAAAATGAAAAAAAAGTTATTCGTAAACACAATCTATGCATACTCTTTAGCTTTGATAATATGGATTGTTAAATTTTCGTTTAAGCAAACAGCCCTATAGTTATTTAAAAAAAATGTGAGCGGAATATAACCGAGCGTCCTGGTATTCTATACCATCAATAGCACAAAAGTAGAACATAGCACATAAAGACATAGGTTATAGTAAAGACAGCGGGAATTTAAAGTGTTCACCATTTAACTGTTCATAAATGCCGGTATTAATTATGAACCTGCCATATAACTGTCATACTGCTGCAGAAATGCGGCAAATAGTTGTGTGAAGATAACAGGTAAATGTAGGGATGGTTTTTATACAATCTAAACAATCTTACTTGCCAACGCATCACCAGCTGCCCTCATAAGGGTCTAATCCATTCTACCACTGCTTGCCGTAAAGGTACAAATGTATTGAATGGGAGGAGGTACAGTCCTAGTCTTATTTGAGTTAGCACTCTTATAGCAACACCACCTTGCAGCAAACGGAAACATGATGTTATGTGCAGCAGTAGAACCGTTAATATTCAGGTTGCAAAGTATCCTATTCTCATTTAAAATAAGCATACCGACCTCTTCCTTCGGGAGTTGCCTTGCTGTAACACTGGCTGCTGTGAAACAGGTTACAGGCGCTGAACGTCTTCTCCAGCCCCGGGACCTGTCCTCCGCACACCTGCTGAACCTCCACACACCACGATCTGCACGGCAGCACCAGTCTCGTGCTGGTCACAGGCAAAAACAACAATCTGTTTGTTTGTTTATTTACTTATTTAACCAGGAGAACACATGTCGCCTAAAGGCGATTTTCAAAGGTTCCTGGCGGGAAAACCCCAAACAAGATTCATTAACAAAAATGAACTCAAGATTAACAAAGGTATCAAATGACGCAGGTTACAAATTGAATACAAAATCAAGGTAACTTAAATAACATAAGAGAAACAATTTTGTAACTTAAAATCTTATAACGTAGAACAAAGGTAGAACATAATTAAATAAAATCAGGATTAAATCAGGATTGAATTGGCATACAATTTATACGTGTCTCCGTAAATAATTTCATCAGGTTGGAAGATACTTAGGGTATAGAATTTTCTTCTTACACAACCATTGGGTTTCTCACCTGCTTACGTTTCGATGTCTATCAGACACCTTCCTCAGAGCTTCTGACTGAAGTTCTACAACTCGCCGCTATTTAACGCCAAAGTATTTTGTGTTAACAAAATACCATGCAAAAGCTGTGAGGAAGTGTACATCGGAGAGACTGGGATGACCTTTGGCAAAAGACTGGAAGAACACAGAAAAGAGGCAGACAATATCGAAGCCATAAGATACACACGTTCCCAGAAACAACAAGCACAAAAAGAAGAGAAGAAATCGGCAGTCACAGACCATGTTGCCAGAAACAATTGTGTGATAGACTGGGAGGGTGCCAGGGCCATAGATAGGGAGGACAACAGGAGAATCCGTTGGATTAAAGAAGCAGTCTGGATAAGGAAATCAACCCCAGTGATGAACCGGGACGAGGGGGGATACAAGCTCAGCCACGTTTGGGATTGCATTCTCGCCGCAAAAGCGCCACCTACTTTGGCGTTAAATAGCGGCGAGTTGCAGAACTGACCAGTCAGAAGCTCTGAGGAAGGTGTCTGATAAACATCGAAACGTAAGCAGGTGAGAAACCCAATTGTGTAAGAAGAAAATTCTATACCCCAATTTATACGTGTGTGAACAAAACGTTACAGCTATTGTGCTGATTATGGGTTCACCACACCACGAAGTGGGGGATAGGGTGAAGCCATCTGCTGCATTTGCTCTCAAGCAAATGTCGGCCTTTCTAGTCTGATGTTTCTTCTTCTCCTTCTCCTCCTGCCATTTTTTAAATGGATTCAGCTTCTTCATTTTAGGGCCTAAGGTCCTGAAATTTGGTATGGAGGTACAGTGGGCAAATACCCCTGGGCGTTTTTTAAATTTTTGTGATACAGGCTTTTAGAATGGTTTTATTTGAGTTTTTTGGCTGTGTTGTAGCAAATGTATTACTGTGTTAGTGTGCCTTGTTTACCACGTTTGGGCATGAGTCATCACAATGGCATGCTCGGCATCAACCAATAGGCATGCAGCTTTCCTCTATACTTCTTGCTGATTGGCTGTTGGGATTTAACTTGATTAACACCTGCACAGAGCATTTCCACCTGCACAGAGCATTTCTTGCTGATTGGCTGTTGGGACTTAACTTGATTAACACCTGCACAGAGCATTTCCATACTGACAGTATGTCTTTATTCAAGTGTTTTGGTAGGTATTTCAAGCTTTTCTGCTCCAGCATTGGAATGCGGGGCATGAACGTTTTTTTTTTGAAAATCAACAGTTTGCATTATGCAATTAAAAATCCTAACCAATAAAGTAGGGAATAGCTATCCAACTGTTGTTTTAGTTGTGTGTTACTTCATATTATAGTTATATCAATGTAAATCATTGTTTTCCCTTGTGTTTCTCATTCTTTCCCTGCCATGTCGTAAAATGTGGTGAACCCATCGCTGTATTTGCTCCAAAGCAAATATTGGCCTTTCTAGTTGGTCTAAATTTTTACACATCCGTCCACCACGCTTTGTACCAGCTGTTGCATTTCGCAAAAAAAAAGGTTTGGAATGGACCTCGAATATAACAGGTTCCTTTTGAATTATGCCACAACTGGAACACAATTTGGAGTGTCCCAAAACGTGGAGACTGACCATGCTGTACGTATGTGTACAGTGTATAATCAGGGACTCCATCGTGTGTCTGTCAAGTAAGATTTGTTTGTCTATCTTTGTATGAATGTGTTTAGATTAGGGTTTAGGTTAGAACATAAACAGATTATTTAACTTTTTTTTTATAACAACAGCCATTCCACTTCTTGGTATTCCGAAACATTGTTTGGAATTGACCACGATTTGGAATACAGTCATCATGCATTCCAGTTCGCAGGATTCCAAATCATGTTTTGGGAACGGCACACGTTTTATAGAATGCAACACCAGCCTTGAGCTGACGGGCAATAGAAATGCGATTATAATACATGGTTCAAACCCTTGGCCCTTGATCCGCAAAATTTGAACTGAATGGTGAAATCATAACACAGCTTATTAAAATCGCTTAATTTCTAGCGTGTTGACTAGACAATGTAGAAGATCACCGTATAAAGAGAATGTTGACATAGTTGTCCTTGTGCTTAAACAATTTAATTCTTTCAAGGCACCTTTTTATTTCAAAACCAATTTAAATATTGTACCTGTCACATCTTGGGAACAGAAGCGTACAGACGTAATCAACGAACTGTTCATGGCAGGGTGTGTTCTGGCGGTGGTACTGGGTTAAGTTCTGCAGTTCTACAGAATTCCGGATCTCTTCAAGAGACTTATGACCGACCCAGTTAGGCAGCAGGACATCTCTGTAGTCTAGAACTTTGCAAATGCCAAGATCTAGATTCGATAACCGTCGACATTCTAAAAACAATTGCAATATTATATGTTAGGTATATACATAACTCCTCAAGCAAGAAGTTTTCATTTCATTTTGCAACGGATTAAAAATAACATATAGCGAATATGTTTTCCACTTGTTTCTCTAAATGAAATTTTATCAAATACCTAAAAAGAAGTTTTCCATGCTAGAATGGCAAATGTAACATTATGATAGCAACCTAGTCACATTCGTGGTATGATACCGTTACGACGGTAAATTGTGTGCATTTATGCATTAAATGTGCCGTCACGAAAAAAGGTTATTAAAGATGCACGAACAAAATTTTTTGTTCAATTTGATATGTTTTTGATAGTCTTACTTTATTGTTTAGTCAATTTGATAGTTAGTTCGTCGTGTTAACTCTATATGTTTTTGTATCTACTTTAATTTAATTTGTTTCGTTGTCACTTACTAGTATTTACAATACACGTGTGTAAAAAGAGGTCATAAAACAATTTGATTGTAGGCGAACCCACTCAATAAACCCTTATGTTTCTTGGGTTCCCGCACGTTTGGTTGTACATATTCATTACATAATATTTTATTTTTATGTGCAAACTGAAATAAACAGACAAACAAATGTATGTCCTAACATAATCTTGACAAAAATGTTAAAATAAGTACGACGAATATGACTGCACCTTTCTTACAAAAAAAAAAACAAAAACAAATACCGCAGTTCTGTTCGTCACTGTTGTCCCGGCAGTCTTTCTGTTGGTTACATCGCTGCCAGCTGAAGATGTATTTCTCCGCGTTAACACAGGCGAAATGGCCGAGTTTAAAGTCCAGAGCCACTGAAAGTTTAGAAAATAAATGCTGCAATAACATTATTACTATATGCTATGTATCAAAGATAGAATACGAAAATGTAGTTATCACGCAAGTCGATGATCAGGCAATGGACCTGTATGACCCAACAACGGGTACATTTTACATATACCACAGAACGACACCATTAGGGTGTCCCACTTGTAAAAAAAATATGTCTCCGATGTTTATTAAATGGTTGCACAATTAGAATTATCGAAGGGATCTAGACAATACCTGCAACTGCTCGCTGTACCGATTAAAGACTGTACATCTCAACACCATTTTTTTTATTCATCAAGACATAACGACATAACAAGGACAGTGTGACGCTGCACTTAAATTAACAACTTATATTAACAGCGCCACACAACAAAAAAGGTACAATTAACATTTGAATATACAAAGTTGACATATCTGTGCGCCGTAGTCCCATCACCACAAGACATTAAAATGTTAAATCAAATGCTAACAGAGCAAATTTGAAAGATAAGATTACATGGTAACCCCATATATCTCAACGGCGGAAAAACATTCGCCAATCAGAGCTAGGAGGGGAATTTAGGCCCATTAACACTTACGTAGTATTTAGATTTCTATATCTAATTGACTGTTAAAAACAGTCAAGCAGAGCTAGAAGCGTTTGGTATCTCCAATGTAAACCTGAGTGAGTTGCATCGTTTTAAAGTTGTACATAGAGGGTAACAATGTGGAGCCTCTAAGAATAAAGTGCAGTTTAGCATTATCTGACATATTACTAAGGTTGACAAGATGACCGAGTAAATCTGCAAGATTGCCAAAAAGTTCCGATCTCTGATGATTGTATAATGGACAATGTAGCATGAAATGCATGACAGATTCGCAACGACACCCGCATCTATAACAGGCACTGGTAGAGAGTCCTCGGGTAAACAAACTGTGATTGAGAGCACAGGTGCCGATGCGGAGCCGAACAAGAAGGGCGCAGGTGTAACGCGGGCCACAATTGTAATGTGGGGGACAAAGGGGACGTACTAATCTAATAAGGTGTTTCCGGAACAAGGAGTACCGTAAAGAACGAACTTCCAGGTCCAGTTCATTCCAATGACTTAAACAATAGGGTATAAAAGATCTACTAAATATATTAGTAAATTGTAACGAAAGTCGAAAGTCGTTACTATTTCTTAAATTGTACAAAGCGGTTTGAGAAATTTCAGGGGCGATTAAGTCAAAAAGATATTTCCGTGTTAGGCCATTGACTATTTTATGAAATAAAAATAAGCGATGAAAATGGCGTCTGCTAGAAAGAGACTCCCAACCCAGTTCTTGACAAACAGATAAGTAAGAAGAGCCTTTAACCTTGCTCCTGAGACGATAAGGGAACATTCATATTGGATTAGTTCAACAAGAGCGGAGTCTTCAGCAGTACAGCCATGCCAGATCACATCTGCAAACTCCAAACAGGGACGGACAAATGATTTATAAATGGTTTCTAAAACATTGCGAGGTAATTTAAACTTTAAACCACGAAGTACAGTGACCTGTTTAGATATTTTGGCTAGCATCTGAATAATATGGTTGTGCCAAGCCATATTAGTAGTCAATGTAACTCCAATATGTTTATGGTGTGGGACACGATTAATAGACGACCCAAGATAAAGAGGAGGGTGGGTGATAGGGGATCTTTTGGTAGAAAATGACATCTCTTCAGTTTTAGATGGATTTAGTTCCATTAGCCATTTTTTGGACCAAGACAGAATTTTAATCAAATCAGAGTTAAGCCAATATACAGATGCGGTCGGGTCATCAACTACGTCAAGTAGGGAGCTATCATCCGCAAATAAAAAAAGGTAAAGAATTTAAGTTATTGACAATGTCATTTATATATATGATAAACAGAGCCTTGGGGAACACTTGCGCCGATCTTGGACCAGGAAGAAGTCTGTCCATCTATCACAACTCTCTGAGACCGGTCATATAGATAACTGTGAATCCAGTTTAGTAAGGGACCGTCAACTCCATTTTGCTGCAGTTAAAAAATTAAACCGAAATGCCATACCTTGTCAAAGGCCCGCGAAAAATCAAGGAAAACAGAACGTACTTCTTTCCCTTCCTCAAAAGCAATAAGGATAGTGTGACAAATACAAACTAGCTGACACACCGTTGAATCCCCATGTATAAAACCAGACTCGAGAGGATAAATAAGATTATTTAAAAAGATGTGGTTATAATGGGCTCTCCGCCATTTTGACAGTAAAACCAGCCATTATATAAAAGAAAATTATGGGTTCTTGCATTAATGTCAGATTATTTGCGCCATTGCATATGGATTATTGACAAACCGAAAACCGACCAAGCGCAAATAAAATACAACTTATCCATGCGAGCACAGCTGTATAATTAGCAGGCATAACAGACTTTACAGCCGTTAAGTACAATGACACTGATATTGCTCTTTCCTAAGAATCCCATTAGGCCACGCCTCCTTAATTTTATGGATGACATCCTCTGAAGACCCCAAAACTAGTGCGCGCGGACGAATAAAAAAAATTCCGGCCCAACATAAAAATGCTACTAAACTACAGGAATACAAAGCTGGTATTGTGAATTTACGGCAGTACTAATAGCGATGTATACAAGTCGGCGCATGCTGGCTTTTGTCAGAATTTTATGAATCGGCAGTGTGTGGTATGTACTGAGTTCTTACGTCGTGGAGCCTCGGTAGCCTCGGTACCCAGCTCCGTATTGTCGCTAACCACCATGGACTAACCAGGCCTAGAGTGTTGGTGGACTGCCTACGGATTATCTTTTTTTTACATCCGCAGGCAGTGCGGATATCAACAAAGCTATTATGCACCAACCGAGACAAAGCTGTAGCAAGTTCAGTGAAAATATACATCATAGATATCGTTACGTACCTTTCTCCATCTGCCTGTAGGTAATTTTGAACCCTGGAAATGACTCTTGTTCGTCAGTCTGGAATGTTAGTGTCATCACGTTACCGGTGGACCGCTGAGGATCCGGTAAGTCTGATCCGCAAAACGTTCCTACAATAGTAAGCATGTATAACAAAACTTTCTACATTATGATGTAAAACTTGTCGTAAAATGGTGTACGTGGTACAATGACTCTTTTTTTTTAATTGCCCATCTTCCTTTTCCACACGAGTGCAGTTTGTTTGGGCCGTGTTAGGATATTATTTTATATTATGCATAACATGAAGTAAGTATGGTCTAAGAACAATTTTGGGAGACATACCAAGCAGGTTCTCCTCATTTGTGAATTCGCCGTCATATACGGACAGACTGTCGTACCGACAGACTCCGTAGGCGGCGC